TTTAGCTCCGAAGTCTATGTACTTAACCACTGTACAAGACTACCAATTACCACCCTGTGGAGCAACTTGTATATTAGTACATATGTATCCCTAATGAGTGGTACAGCCAGGATTTCATCCAGGTCTAATCTGGTTTAGGATCAATGCTCTTTCCCATCACACAACATACTGCCTCTCACATGATGATACTTGAACTCCACTTTCACTGTCATCAGCAGACACAAGCAGAAGGCAGTGAAGAAAGTCCAGTGCAGTAGACATCACAGAAGCAGTACAGGAAAAGGAATCCTACCCACCAGCCCACCAGCCCACCAGCCTTAGCACAATCTCTCGGGTTTGCTGGAGGACGCTAGTTCTTCTAGGTCACTCCTAGCTTGTGTGCTGTGCTCCTCTCTCTTCGTTTTCAGGATGTGGTGTGGTTGATGGAACAGACACTGGAGCAGGGAGTGAGAGCCTCGGACTGGCAGAGTGCCATGGACAATCTGGGCACCGCATACCTGGCTCCCTTATCCCTCTCAACCACATGAGTGAGCATGACACCTAGTTCACAGGTGAGCGAGCTGAGATTCAGAGAATTAAATATGATTCCATCAAGGTCAAAAAAGTCATTATTGTGTCCAGGTCTGCCTCACTGCAAAATCCTCATGTATACTTGGCCACATCACCTCTAAAGTCACTTCAATCCTCTGAATCTCAGACTCCTCGAGTTTAAAACATGGTGGTGTGCTAAATTAGNCCTCATGTATACTTGGCCACATCACCTCTAAAGTCACTTCAATCCTCTGAATCTCAGACTCCTCGAGTATAAAACATGGTGGTGTCCTAAATTAGTTCTCTCTGTGCCATGGAGCCCTAGAGATTCTTTGAAGGTGTCTCAGAAGTCATTTGGGGGAGGAAGTCCAAGGAGACAAGAACCAAGACAGCCACCTACACACACACACACACACACACACACACACACACACACTGCAGTGCAACACCACTTCGGCCTTATAATTCTGGCTTTCCACATTTAGATCGAAGNACACACACACACACACACACACACACACTGCAGTGCAACACCACTTCAGCCTTATAATTCTGGCTTTCCACATTTAGATCGAAGGGGGGGATTCTGCTGCTAAAAGAAGTGTGGGGACCACTCTACCACATGATTGTTAAGGCCCCTCTCAGCTTTAATACCTAGGAGGGGAGTCGCGTGGCCAAGGTACAATAACCGAGGTAAATAGAGCAGTGAGAGGAGACTTCTGGTTCACTTGGCTGGCTCAGTCCAGGAAACATCAGATGCCTTTGAAAGAAAGACCATACCCATCCAGACTTCTGCTGATCTAGACACAGTTTGAGAAAGTGTTTCCATTGTGTGTGTGAAGATGGCCCTTCATACCCTCGGCCAGTTAATGAGAAACACTGAGTTTTCTTCTTCTGTGGTCACCGGTCCTTGAGGCTTTCAACTGGTCAGGAATGAAAGGGATGGAGCATTTGTGGGCTTTTTTAGTTCGGATACATTGTTTTTTCTCTTTCTGTTTATCTTGCCCTCCTTCGGCCCTGTCTCTCTCCTCTGGCCCCAAGCCAGGTGGTAGACAGGAAAGGAGTGGTGCTTGCTGGAAAGGAATGAGTGATGCACTGGGCCCTCTCCCTCACCTCTAGTGCCACACACAGCAGATGCTGGCACTTAGCTAGGGAGGCTGGCCTCCCGCTGAATACATGGAAAGCCAAGTTTTCTTTTCCCCCATCCCTTATAGCTCATATCCCTTTCACTAAAGCGACATATGTAGCAAAGAATGAAGCTTAGGAAAGGCAAATGTTAATTACGGTGATGGTGATCACGCTCTTAAAAAACACATAATACTTTACATACCTTAAAATTCATGCATTTTTGTGCTAAATTAGTTCTCTCTGTCAAGTTAGTGATTTTGAGTGTGCAAGTTAGTGATTTTTAGTAAATATACAGTTGCATAACCATCGCCATTATTCAGTTTCGGAGCATTTTCATTCTCATCTGCAGTCACTCCCTTTTCCCACTCCCAGCCCTAGGCAACCACTAATCTACTCAGTTTCTTACAGACTTGCTTTCCCTGAGCATCTCATATAAATGGAATGGTATAATATGTGGTATTTTGTGACTGGCTTTGTTCATACTTTTCTCTGAGGTTCATCCATATGTTAGCATGTCTCAGTACTTCGTTGCTTTTTACGTAACACTTTTTTGAATGGCAGCATTATACAGAGGAAAGATCGTGGATTTCAGAAACACACAAATGGAGGGCTGGAGCAAAGCTGCGCCACTTCTGAGGTCTGTGGCTTTCGGCAAGTGCCTTTACCTCTCTGAGACCCATTTGTAGGCTTAAGATAGTAATCCTTCCTTCAGAGGAATATTCCGTGGGTTAGCTGGGTTGTGCTGGCAAATAATGGGCTCTCAAAAAATCCAGACTTTCTCTCCACACATTACCTAGAAACCTTTGCTTTTACTTAACCATCCTGCTTCAAACTTTAAAATGAACACTACAGCCTCCCGACCAGCCTTCGCGTCAAGTTTGAAACGAGAGCCCACATAACTAGCAGCACCAGGAACGGAATTCCGCTCAGGGAATTACATTTTTCATTAACGGAGCCCAGAGGGTGAGCAGTTAAAGGGATTTCCTTCAATTATATTGCTGTCATTTTTTAGAAAGAAGGTTAAACTGTATTTAATTATTATTTTAAGGAGGAAAACATTTCAAATTCCACCCTAGAATATTTCATAGAGTTGGCCTTACCTTTGCAAGGCTCTAAGAACGATGTATTTTCCCACCAATTCCTATAAAACTGCCCCTGATAACACCAACCCGCAGAGCATGTAAGCAAAAAGCAAAGGGCCTACGCAGCCACCCCCTCCTGTAAATAAAATCCACCTCAAGTCCTCAAAACCCCTCAACTTCTAGCGATCGGTTTCAGGATCTTCCTTTCCTAAACCCTTAGGAGAACCTGAATTTCAGGTGTGTAGCAAAATAAACTAAACTGAACGCCCTATTCATTTTGCCAGCCCGCCTTCTCTGATGAGAGCGTGTCATCGATTTGAGTTCCAGCTTAAAGGGATCCTGACATAACCTCATCTTACGCTCTTGGACAAAAAGTTTACAAAGATGCTACTCCTTAGCCCTGAGCATAAAACGATCTGTTCTAAACCTGTTTTCCCTTCTGAATCATTGTTTCTCTAGCATTTTTCAATCCCCCACTATTCCCCTTTGTGTTTCTGATTGTTTTCCTCCACTCTTATCTGGTATGTATCACAGCTGCATTTCTTCCCCCACCCGAAACACTTAATTTCCTTCCACCTTCTCGAGTCACTCCCAGATTCACTTCCAGCTAAGTACAGAATTACAGTTAAAACAGAAAGGGCTAAGGCTTTTCAATATTTCTACTGAGTAAAGTAGGGTTGTAACATTTTATTTCTCTCTCACTTCAAGGAGATTAGTAGAGTGTATCTATTTTCATGGTAGAAAATGCTTGTTTTCAAATGTAAACTAGTAATTAAGAGAGGCAACATATGGCTTTCTAATCTTTATATCCCAATAATAGCCACTATGCATAATACTGGCATTAAAGATGGCAAAGAATGGTCCTTTCAAGTAGGTAAATTAGATATAATTCCTTCGAGTGATCATTCTGCAACATTATCAAGTGAGTCTAACTTGCACGTGCATTCTGATAAAGCCATATCCACACAGGTAAACAGATAAAGGCTATATCCAGGCTGAACCAAACACTTCCTGTATTTGTATAAAAGTTTCCGTGTTTCCTTTCTGTATGTACTTATGTGAAAATAGGAACTGTTAACAAAATCCATGACTAATTGTTCCCCCCATATTGAGAGATCAGGAAGAAGCGGATAGAGTCCCAAGGGAGTTTTTACTCACTGTATTATCACCTAAAATAAGCTTGGAAATCCATAAATGTGCTAAAAAATACATAAAAATAACTGGGGGGCATGAACAGGTTAGGTTTAGTTAGATTTGTGAATTATCCCAATCTTTAAAAAGTTTTCTTATATTAAAACTTCCCTTTCAGATGTAATGTACAGTATGACATTCATAATCACTAACATTGTATTGTGAATTTGAAAGTTGTTAAGAGAGTAAAAGTTTTCGTCGTGAGCCCTGCCGGCCTTGCTCATGATCCCGGAGATTCAGGAGATTGCAGTTTGATTCCCAGTCGGGGTGCATACCCCTATTGTGGGCTCAATCCCCAGTGGGAGTTGTGTAGAAGGCAANATTGCAGTTTGATTCCCAGTCAGGGTGCATACCCCTATTGTGGGCTCAATCCCCAGTGGGGGTTGTGTAGAAGGCAACCAATCAATGACTCTCTCATCCTTGATGTTTCTATCTCTCTCTCTCCCTCTCCCTTCCTCTCGCTGAAATCCATAAAGATATATTAAAAAAAAAAAAAGTTCTCATCATGAGAAAAAAAATAATCTGTATGGTGACAGATGTTAGTTAACTAGACTTATTGTGATCATTTCACAGTGTATACAAATATTAAATCATTATGTTATATAGCTGAAACTAATATAATGCTATATGTCAATTACATCCCCCCCAAAGGCACAAAAATATTACAAAACAGCAACAAAAACCTTCCCTTTTGTATACTAGAGCAAAGAGAGTAAATTAGATCCAAGATTTTATTGTAGGGATTTTGTTTTAAATGCTATCATAGGAATTTATGTCATGGTATAAATAGTTCAGTAAATCTGGGATTTACCAAAGACTTTCTCTCTACTGCACAGGCCTTTTGTGCAGATGTTTAGCCGCAGATGACAAAATACTCTTGAGGCATGATGATTACACTACCTTCCAGTATGATTTGGCCTACTGTTTGTTTAGAGAATCCTGATCTCAGGGTGATTGGTCAAAACCCCACATTTGCAGAGTTCACCTCTGAGGCCTTGGCCACCATAAAGATGTCAATATGCATGCACCCTGCATATGAATTACCAAATAATGCCAAGAGTCTCCTACCCTGAGATGGCAGCGAGTTTTTGGTGTGCCTGCCGGGCCATTTCACAGCCTTTGGTTCTGGTCTTGTGCATTTCCGCCCGGAGCGAGGGGCAGCTGACCGAGACGTCCCCAATAGAAATGACCAACTCTCGGTACAGGGCCACTTGCGTGTTGAACTCTTGGACAAGCTGGAAAAGAAGTGAGTTTCGTTCAGGAAACACTTATCAGACAAGTCCCTATTTTTGGTGTACATAAACAGGCTTCCACTGGCACTTGAGTCTCCCCCCCCC